TTTATAGAGATTGTTATAAGATTGATTACAAAATTAAGATATATAATAAAATAAATTATATATTAAATAAAAATTGACACAAATAAAAATATAATCGGATATAAAATATATAGTTAACTGTTTTCTTATTTGAGTGTGTATGTTCTTTCGTGATATGTCAAGCTAAACAGCATAAAGCACTTAATTATTATAATTGATTACATGAGAATATGAATAAACATTTGAATAAACTTAAAATAAAAATAAAAAGATATATAATTATTTGTAGACTAAAATTTTTGCATGTTCTACTTTATTAAATTAGAAAAAAAAGATATGCAAAAGATTCTCTACTTTATCAATTAATTAACTCAGTAATTATCTCAAAATTAATCATGTAAACTCTGTTCCAGATTCCACAGAAAGTCCTAGCCAAACTCTATTCTCTTTTCATCAAAAGGCAATGCCTTTTTCCTCTTTCGCAGTCGAGAATACGAGGCTCTTTGTTTTCGCGGTCCCGATTCTGTGCAGTATGCGTGGAAAAAAGGAGAGCAAAAAGAAGACGGAAGGACGTAGGAGCGTAGGAAGACAATGGATCCTCGAGACGCCGGTTTATACTCAAGGTTTTGCTTTGCGACGCGAAGGAAGCGCGAGGATGAAACGACAAGGCTTCTCGCTCCGTGAACAGGATTATTTCTAACGGCGCACGATGTATCGATTGCGAAGGAAAAGAGAAGACACATAGATAAGATGCACATAGATAAGATTCTGGGAGAATTATGCGAACTCACGGTGAGATGTCAGTATTTAAATGATAAAATGTAAGACAAAGCGTTTAAAGAATATTTGTTAAATCTTTTTTATTTCCTCGTTTTTGAGAAAATATTATTGAAAACAGCATACACATGAATTTATTGTAGCGAATATTTCAAATTAATATAAATATCTATCAATCTATAATTTGATGACGCGCGTGTGCAATATTAATAAAATTCACCACGCGATTAATGTTCAAATCTTTTATAAGATTTTACAAGATGAATAACTTTTATTTAGAGACCGCGTTACGCAATGCCATTTTTCTAAAAAAACGTGGGTACACATGTATACCCACATAATAACCACCGGACGAAGTATTTTCTCAATTTCATTGAGAAACGCGTTTATAAATACGTCGCATGCATTGATCGAGCGTTGCGACGAAGGGTCGAGAGGATGCGACGCAATAAAAATGTCGCTTTCCTACGCGACAACCTTGCACAGTCTCTTCAGGGTGAGTAATTGAAGGTCGAGAGTTATCGAACGATCGATCATCACGATAGGGTAAAGGAGACTGTGTCTCGATAATGAACGATATCGCGAGGACGCAGTTAATAATAATACGCAGTTGAATTTTACCTTTGACTCAACCCCGCGAGACCTTTTGCTCGAAAGGTTAGTCATTATTACGGGGTCGATGAATCCGGTTGGCTGCGACAATCGATACAAATGACCGGCGCGTCGCTTCATCTATTTTCGTCGCAGTGCATTTTTATAAGCGCCACGCGTGCTACGGAATTTAAAAAAAACAAGGATAATCTCGCGACCGAGGCAATTTTCCGCGCAAACACATCGGATACGGTATAATCATTGCTTTCAAGCGTCTATCGCTTGATTAAACTTAAAATATTGGTCTTTAACTGCTCTTAAATGTTAAATTACCGTTGGCTCGTTACCCACCAATTCACGCTAAATTATTGCCACTTAATTGCGTTACACACAAACTGAGTTAAGCCTGATTAACATTGATTTTTCGATGAAAGGCCGAACTATGCGAACAGCCATTTTTGGCTCTCTTCGAACAAATGAACGCGCAACAGGCAACAATAGGAGCGACGGAATTCGTCGGGGATCGCCCGAGCATGTGCTCTTTTAGGTCAAAGGTCACGCACGAATGAACTTAACAGCAACAGGAACTTCCCGTTGCATCTGTTTAACTTCAAAGGATAAAGAAAATATACCTATTTATAAAAAAAGAAAACTGACTGCAAATTTTAAATGCACGTGTCGCATATTAAAAATAAAAAAAAATCATAATTTGTACATAAGATTTCTTGACTCGAAGTGACTCAGTGCTTGGTTTGTTCAAATATCAAAGTTTATGACTATTTCTCAATTATGCAAATATAATGATATTAGAATTTCGCAATTATTCGTACATACATAAAATGTATATAAAACCGAGCATTAAGCATCGCGATTTGATCTTGAAATTAGATTCGCGTTCACAATATGTCGTTTAATTCATGCTGCAAGGAGTTTCAAAGCTAGATTTACGGAGAAAGGCTTCGCATTAGGGTCGCCTCTGTAGAAACGGATATTAGAAAACGCAGTTCTATACACCGTGATCTTAAACCTCTATGATCGACGTCAAGATGACCTCGGAACGGCTGACAAATCGTGTGCATCGATAATACGTATTCTGCGAACACTATCGACCTCGATTCACTTGCTCAAGGATAGACCCCCGTGTATTAAGGTATATTGAGAGATCCGCGGATAGTAGCTCTAAATGAAAGCACGATTTTGCCAAGTTGGCCCCACGCTTTCACTTAAAATTCACGCCCACGTAAAAACTATACAAATTTTAAAATCAGAGACTAAAACGATCATAACTATAGAATTACCATAGAGTTTTTATAACTATAGTTTCAAAACTGCATATATGCAAAAATAATCCTGGCGATCTTTTAATATTTATATATTTATTCGTTTAATTCCATTATCATTTATATAATCGTTTAATACCAATCTTAGTTTCGTGATCGAGTAAAAAATTTCACAATAAAAATGGTACAGTCGTCTAATTAAAATTTTTTGATGTCAATTTTTTTCAAATCGTCAAAATCATAAGAATAGATTTAATAAATATAGCTCATTTAATTCATAGCCACTCGTATTCGCGAACATATAAATAAAATTTAATTATAAAATGTTAAAAAATTTCAGACATTTATGCCTATTCATATTTTATATTCAAAAATATATAAAATTATATCATATAGGCAGTGAGAATATAATCCCAGCACAAATCGGAATCATTTCGTTCACTTGTGATATTTTCGCACATCTCGTAATATATTCACCCTGCACCCACGCCCACGCCATTTGCAACTCTCGTCGATTAACGAACTGCCCCTCTTTCCTCTCTCAAAGCGTAATTACATTCACTGACTCTGGTCGATAGAAAATTTCATTGGCCGGCAAACGTCGCGCGCGCGCTAATTGGAGTTCGCTCTTTAACATTCAAGTAGTCGCACGGGTTTCCACGAGATCAATGTTCATGTCGCTTTTCATTTCACTATACTACAATCAACGTTGTAACTTGTAAAAAAAAAAACCTTATAAGACTTATGCAAAGAAAGTTATGGGATCAGCTAGACTCCCGCGCGACCACTTGATGTAGTCAAGTATACATATTTATGGCGGACGAATGAGGTTAGAAAAGGCGGAGATCGAATCATAAATGAAAAACTCTCGCTTCATTATCTTACCTGCAATTATATGTACAAAGTGTTCGGTAATAGCTATAATTGTTGCATACGGCATTATTCCCGGAGCAGAGTATAATTCTTCTTTAACAAAACCGTCAATGTGAATAGCCTTTCAACACTTCGAACAATTCAAAGATTTTTCCGCGAATCACAGGTTAAAAAATGTAAATAGATAAGTTATCCTTTATCTAATAATTCTTCAACCAATTTCTAGTGAATTTTGTTCAAACACAGAATCTTAACCAATCGTATTTAATCTTGAAAATCGCGTATAACTGTGTTCTTTATCTAACTTCAGGTGGGTTTTAGATTTGATGGAATCTTATCTCAATCAATCATATTTAATGTCGTAATTTCAATCGCAACAAAATATGGTGTCCAAAAAAAGAAGTGTTCCACCCAAAATTTGTTAATAAGCTATTATCGTTCCGTCTATCGCCGAGCACTCTGTATATTCCTTCGATCTGAGTCACCTTACGCGCGCGATTTCATTCATTCATCGAATTATCGTAAATCAATCGACTCACCGGAAGAATCGCTCCTTCTTGGCGTGCGTTTACCACTGCTGCTCCCCGCCGTTGCCAACGCCGTCGACGCTATTGAGAAATTGCGGTCGCACCCTACGGACGCGGAAGACCACACCTGGCCGCACGTGAGACACAAGGGTAGTGTACGACTCCGAAAGTCAAACTCGTTCAGGCACTGGGATGAACATGTCTCATCCAACGCGCGGCTACTTCGCGACTGCGCGTACGTCGCGTCAATGAAAGCTCCCTCATAGAATCGCCGCGCAATCCCCACTCTAGTGACATGCGCAACCAAATGAAATTACCCCAAAAATGTATAAGGATAAGGAGTTTCCTATCTGTTTATATACAAATCCGCGTTCTTGTTTGTTTTTAGTTTATGAAATTCAGGCAATGTTAAATATTATTGAGAAAACAATTACAGAATAATAAAAATTATAAATATAAAAATAATAAATATTTTCTACAATGTAAAGAAAATATGTTGTTATTGACGCAAATTTTAATAATAAAGTTTAATATTAAGCAAAATTTCTAAGTAGTATTATCTTTTTAATAAAAATTTTGACTCAAATTTTGTCCTAAAATTGTTACTTGCGTTTTTCTATATCTTTTCTATTTTTCGTGACGTATATTTTATTCTATTCTGCAATTCGCGCAGAGGAATGAGTGATGGTACGAATGATTTTCACAAAGTTTCACAACACTCGTATGTACACCGGAAGAAGCAAATATATTGCACACCAAGTTTAGTAATTGCATAAAAGAGAAATCTCAATTTCGATTTCATTAAGAAAATCACTATCTACTGATATGAATCCTATCACGCAAAAGGACTAATTAAAAAATTTCCATTCTCAAGTAAACTCATGTTAAAACTATAGCATTAGTTCTTTAAATATGTGCATTTTTTCCCGATAATATAATGGAAAGCTAGAAAAATTATCGCTAGTATCGGAAAAACTTAACAATTATGTAATTAACATTATATAATTCGCCACGTTATATGAAACGATCACACATATGCTTAATATTTTAGATTTGATCTTTCTGTGGGTTTTAAATTTAACAATGTTCACCATTTCAAGTCACTCAAGTGTGATGCAAAATCATAAATCAGTTTACATCTTGAAACATTAAGTAAATTCAATATCATAAGAATTTAATTCTACATTTCTTAATGAAGAATCGATTTGTAATATTAAAAATGTCAAAATAAAAATCAAATTTAAATACTCACGATTTTGAAGTACTTAAATGTGATGCTGGATCATAGATAACTTCAACGAAGGATTACGTACATACGTCACGTGTCTCAGGTGGGCACGTCGACGTCATCTGGTTTTAATAGTTGTTTTTCGCAGCTCACGTATCGTCTGCAAGCAGAATGATTTATCTCGTTTAAGAGACTTTCTTGAGCTTGTCCAAGCGGAACCTCACAAGTTTGCGGTGCGCTGTTAACCATTCGTTTCCTTATTCGGTTCCTTATTGCGTTCTCCTATTGTCCTCATCATGACATGCTCTCTCGCCTACCTACCTGCTGGTTTACATACACATACAATTTAGATGCTTCCTAGAATGCAAAGAAATTTCTCCGACCCTTTTTTCTTTGATCATATTACGCAAAGCCGACGTGCAAAAAGTCCTGAACGAACATCATGACGTAGCTTTTTCATATACGTCATTACATTGTAATTTTAGATCTTGTTACGTTAGAAACTATGTAATACTTTTATTACGTTAATATATAGACTACTTTACACGTTAATATCGATATTGATGACGTAGACGTACGGCGATGTAATAAATATTCAAGGTCTATTAGATGAGAATTTTTAATAAAACTCGATAATGTATTTTTTTAATTATATCATCATCTATATAAGACAGTATAACGGCAAAATTTTATCTTTAGCTCATAAAAGAGTGTAAGCAATTTTTAGTATTTAATAATTTAATATGTTATTTTTTAATATAGTAATGAAATATAATAAGTTTACTTTTACTTGACTGGAAAACATTAAATTTGCCATTTTACTTCTTATAAGATATTAAAAATATTAAGATATTGCATTAATAAAATTACTTACAAATTCCAACTTGACAATGATAAATAACATCGAGCCATTTAAAAGGCACCAACCTTTTTGGCATCGTTCAACGTCGTGGGAACGTAGTGGGCATTGATCGCTTGCGCCATAGTACAGTAGTCACGATACAACATATATTGATCCTTCAACCACCGTCTGATTGCCGAAACTCTCTCCCGAAGCATAACACACTGATCATCCGGCTTCGATTCTATCTCGATTGCATCTAGAAAACAAATATTCCAAAACATGCATGAATAAACCAGGAATATTTACGTACAGAGAGTATGGGAGAATATATTTGAATACATTTGAGCATTCTATTTAAATGGGAAATGAATTTAATGCGTTTGTCATATAGCTCTATACCATTGACTTGGCTATCAGGCTATATTTTCATTGTTTCAATACTATGCGGATTCCTTCTATTCAATGCTGTGCGGATTTCTGCTATTCAATACCACAATTGTCAATGCATTTGCATTAGCTTACAATTTCAAACTTATTCAATAAAATGACATAAATCAGGAAAAGAAACGAGAAGGAAAAATATATGTAAAAGAGAAGATACAGAAAATTACTGATTAAAGATGAAAAAATGGATATTTGAAACCATTATCGACAAAAAACACAATACTTAACTTTAATATGTAAATATTTAGCAAAATAAATTTAGAAAAATTAGTTGATAAAATTTTGTTTAAATTTATAAATTACCTGGCTGTGTAAATTCTGCGACCTTTGGAAATTCCAAAGGACTGAAATAGCTCGGAGTAGCACTCGATTGTAATCTCAAGTCTTTCAATTCGTGTAGATATTTTTGGAGGTCTTCCCGCTCTTGCCACAGTCGCAGTTCGACAATTCGCTTTTGAAGTCTGCGCATTTGTTTCTCGTCAAGTCTCAAAGCCTTGTCTTCCTTACGACTTCCGATGTTATTGTGAGAAGCTTTGATTGACTTTGCACTTGTATTTTTAATTTTCCTTTTCTTCTTCTTGGTGTTATACTCGTGACTATTGTGATCAGACTAAAAATATAATCAGAAATAATAAACAAAGAAATAAAAAAACCCAGTACATTTACACATATATATACATTCTCACAATAAAGATTTACAAAAATTTGTAGAAAAATTGGAAAAAATTATATTAAAGAAATTTAATATTAATTTATAAATTAATAGCTTAAGAAATAGAACATTTTGATTAAAAATATTAAAAAATATCACAAAAAAACAAATAATTCAAAATTTTACAGGTATTCTTAATTATCTCATCAATCTTAACACTGATAAAAAATATAATATTAATACTTACTATTTTATCATTTTCTAAAGAGTGAGAACTCTCATCTTCTTTCTTTACTTTCCTCATTGTTGCATTCTGATCTTCAAATTCTGTTTTAGTTCTGGAAGAGCTTTTCACAATTTCTAAACTCATTTCTTTTTTAGCAGTTGTATCAGTTGCGTCCCCATGCAATTTTATCAACATATTCTCAGCATCAATAATTTTCTTGCGTTGCAATTCTGATTTTGATCGCATAGTCAAGCTTGAAACATCTTCGAAGGTGTCATTTGTATAGTCATTTTCCGCTACAGGATGTTTGGAACTATTTGAAACCATTACATAAGCATTTTCACTTACTGAATATTTTGAATTGATTGAAAGATTCACAGAATCTTTAGTATTAATTATAACATTTTCCTCAGCATGGGAAAGTTCTGAAATAATTTCACTATCATTCTCTATCGTATCGATCGACTCCTTGATAACACTATCATTGTGTAAAGATCCCAAATAATTCAAATTCTTTGAATTTTGATCACTATTTATCAATTTTAATGTCTTAACATTCTTTTCTTCGTCAATCACATGTCTCACGCTAGAACGCACTTTGGAAATCTTCTCTTTCGATTTTTCAGACGACTTTGATGACTTTGCAATTGATGAATTATTGGATGATAATTTATTCCTTGAAATTTCAGATGATTTATCAGATTCCTTTCCTTTCTTTAACTTTCCATCTGCTTTTATTCTTTCTTTGCGTCCAGAAAGTTTATTGCTGGTTGTAGAAAAGTTTTGTTGTGATGCCTTCGAATACGATGGTGATTTTGACGAAGTCATTGAATCATCAAGCACGCTTTCAATCAAGCTGTCTTCTTGAATGGTTGTTATATCTGAGATGGAACTTTCTTGCTTTTCTGCGGAATGCGACGATTTATCTTCTAACAGTATTTCGACATCAACTTCATCAGCATCTTCAGATTTCGAGCTCACTCTGTCCTTCGTTGATTTTTTATCCTTTGATGAAAGTTTTTTTTCTTCTATGTGTCCTTCAAATCGAATATCTGGCATCTTTATATCAAGTTTCAGCTTTGAAACATCCTTCGGCGACTCCTTTAACTTTGTCGAGAGATTCTCCGAAAAATTAATCGAAACGCTGCTTATCAAACTATCTGTATCCTAAACAAGAAATGCAAAAGGTTATGCTAATATTACATATTGGTAATAAAGTTATTCAGTTTTCTTCAGGATTTACATAATTTTACAATATAAATTCTTATTGACTCTTGCTTTTATTTCTATAAATACCTCTTTACGGTTCCATATTTGCTCTCTGCGTTTCATCTTATATTTCTCTTCCATCTCTTTCACACGCATCAGCGCTGCATTCGCTTTAGATGAGAGCATGATTTCTTTTTTAAGTTTTATTCAATTGCCAAATTTAACTAACAAACTCTTTACTTGATTTTGTATCACTTGTAAATTTCTTGAAATTTTCGTTACTTGCGAATTAATGAGTGGTTCTGTGTGAAGTGAGAAAATAAGTTATAGAAATCATGTTGCACATTTACGTAACTAGTTTGCTTTCTTGTTGCCGCGGAAACGGTCTGAACATATCAAGCTTGATCTCTAGAGGGTGCTAAAAACAGAGGTATTTTCTCAAAGATATTAAATCAAAGATATTAAGGGCCAAATTAAAAAACTCAGCAATTAGTTACTTTTTAACTTACTTCAATATCAAATTTTACTTTCTTTTAATACCACGAAATCCGATATTAAGAAATAAAAATGGAATTTTGTGGAGATGAGATCGAAGACGTTTGAAAATGGCGCGTATTGTGGCTGTAGCGTCGCGGTTCAGCGGCTGAACTTAGCCACTTTCGGCTCTCGGACTTTTTAACACTGCCGTATCGACTACAGATAAGCGAACACGATAGTCAGTGACGTGAGGTTATGTGCGTAGCGGCATGGCCAGCAGTGGCCACGGTGTGGCGTCGTGTCGGTTGAGCGTGGTCGGTGATGATTGGTCAGCACGCGTCTACCAATCGGCGTCTTCCATCTGTCTACCCCGGCGGCCACTAAACTCACCAACCACGTCCGCTACTTGGGTATTATCGGGCAGTTCTTCGTGGTGGCTGGTGCCTCTTTGTCGCTGTCTTCTCGGGCACACGTCGTCCTATCGGCGTCCGAAAATGCGGTCTCTGTGCGCGTTCGTCGTTCTCTTTGTGCTTGCCGTAGCCACAGCGGAAGTCTATCTGGATGAGAAGTTTACAGATGGTGAGTAAATATCGTTAGCTTCTTGAATTTTTTGGATTGCAACCCGGCCCGAACATCGGCCGCAAAGGTTCGCCCAGCATGGTAGCGGCTTCTCTCTCTGCCACGAAGACGATCGCAAATCGGCGTACCGAGACTTCTCCAAACGACGAACCACACCCCTATCTATCACGCACATCTTTTCGTTCTTTCCAATTGAAAAAATTAACGCAACGAAATCGAGGATGTGAGAACGTCGATTGCACGCGCGACACGTCGGAAGGGGGACGAGGACGCGGCCTCTCCTTGGTAACCACACGCCCTGTACTCCAGCAATTTGCTTCTCTCAACGGCTAATATTCGGCCGATCGTTTGCTTATGTTCCTGTCTCTCGCACGTAAAACTATTTTACACATCAAACGGCTGAAAAATCGTTAACGACCGTGACATATCGTGCTTCCGCTTTCAAAAGCGGTGTATCGGCCATATGCGCCGGGGTGGGAGAAAGAAACATCGAGAGCCGACACGCAGTCGGAAATCGTCTCTCGTAGCAATCGCTGTACTCGCGCGGCATCCCGTCTGCCGCCGGCATGACGCTGCCAGATCGATCCGTCGATCTGCGTTGCCTCAAGTAGCGGTAAACGGCACGTCGAGGCGGCGACCGAAACTCGCGGAAACCGACTCGATCGCTCCTGAGTTGATATTTCGATGCTGTAGTTAAATAATAATGACCCCTCTGCAGATCCGTCCACGTCGCCACGTATTCCCTCGCATTCTTTCCTACTCTTTCCTTCTGTTTCCTTTCCTTATCCGAGCTGCGTAAGGCTATCTCATTTTGAAAGTGCGTAATGTCGGCGAACGGTTCCTCTTATCTGCGCCGACGTTATCTCTTGGAAATCAGATACCTGCAAGCGAAACTTATCTCTATAGTATTATTTTTTTATACTTTATTCTTTTGCAGCCTTGTAGTGGGCCTTGATTCTGTTGTTTAAACTTTTTTTATATTTTTTATATACAGAATAGAGTTACATATATGTACACATTCCGGATTGTCTAGAGAGTAAAAAGGAGAAAAAAAGTTGCAAGAAAAGCAAGCCTCTTATGTTTATTCGTGACAATAGAAGCGCGACGATTAGTTTCATTTTTTCCAGTCCTTTGCATAGAAATATTAAATTTGAAATTATGATGAGAGATGATATAATTATCTCTTCTTCTCTCGAAAATTAGCAGTTATATTATCGTCTGCTTCATAAATTTTAGCCGGTTCTTGTTCCCTCTCTTTCATCCTTTTACTCGGGAATCGAGTACAAATTTTTTGTGAGCATTATTGTTTTATATATTTTGCTTGTCAGATAAATTAGAATTTTAGAAAATAATTGCAATTTATCGTACACGAAGAACGTGATAAATTACGGAATACTAATTAAATTAAAATGATGTAAATATGGTATAATTTTCTCATTTCGTATGTAAATATACAAGATTTTTAAATAAAATTCCCATAAACATTTATTTTTTGCAACAATAGTAGGAAAATTGATCATGACTTTTTTATTCATAATTTAATGTTTTAATATAAACTGAACTTATTAACAATTCAAAGAATGATGTAATGCATTAATAAAATATATAAAAATGAAAAGTATACCTCATATTGTTTATTTCGTGTACTTGGATTCAAGATGGTGTTACCAATGTTTCAGATTCATGGGAGAAAAACTGGATCTATTCCGAGCATCCTGGAAAGGAATTCGGGAAATTCGTTTTAAGCCATGGCAAGTTCTGGAACGAACCAGAAAATGATAAAGGTATATGAAGTGTACACAGCTAATGATAAAATATATGAAATGTAAAGCTCACCTATTTAACAAACCTGTTTTTCCAAAATTTTCTCAGGTATCCAGACATCGCAGGATGCAAGGTTTTACGCGATAAGCAAGAAGTTCACTCCCTTCAGCAATAAAGATAAGACCCTTGTTATCCAATTCACTGTTAAACACGAACAGAACATCGACTGTGGGGGTGGATATGTCAAAGTATTCGATTGCTCACTCGATCAGAAGGATATGCATGGCGAGAGCCCGTATCAGATTATGTTTGGTAGGTCTTATCAGAATTACGTAATCGGTGACGATAAATATCGTTACCTTTATCACATAAGTAAGCCCGAGCCTAGAGTCACAGGTCATACCAGTGTATGGCAGGTGCTAAAGGTCCTCGGAGAATAATATTCTTTCATATGCCCTGTGTATGATAATTTATACATATTGCAGGCACCAGAAAAGATACATTTATTATGGAAACTAATTAGCTTAGATAAGAAACTAATTTGCTTATTTTGAACAAAACTAGCCTAGAGCATATAATTTATACAACAGATAGTATAACTTAGAAATTCGTAGTGTACAAAAAAAAAATAGAAATATTAAAATTACTTGAAAATAATTATGAAAAAATGATATATTAAATATAATTTATGCATATGAATTCAACTGTGATATTTGCTTCTGTACAGGACCTGACATCTGTGGACCAGGAACTAAGAAAGTGCATGTCATCTTCAGTTACAAGGGCAAGAACCTCTTGATCAACAAAGACATTCGTTGCAAGGATGATATTTACACGCATTTGTACACTTTGGTTGTTAAACCTGATAACACATACAAGGTACATACATTCAAATATCGTACATATGTTTAAAACATATAAAATCGTAGCATTAGCATCGTTCGAGCCTTAGAGTCACATGTTTTCACTTACTGCCGTGGATGACAGGTGCTAAAGGATCTCGTAAAAAAAAGATTATCTTGTTTGTATATTTACATGAGCGATACGGCTTACTGTAAGATTACGGCAAAGACCAACATGTCCAATAATGTCGCTAGTTAGCTACAATTTATACGATTCTGCGATTCTTCATGAAATAACGAATTCTCTTCAGGTACTCATTGACAACGAGGATGTAGAGTCCGGCGAATTGGAAGCGGACTGGAACTTCCTGCCGGCGAAGAAGATCAAGGATCCGTCTCAGAGTAAACCTTCCGACTGGGACGACAAGCCTACGATTGACGATCCCGAAGACAAGAAACCTGAAGATTGGGAAAAGCCTGAGCACATTCCTGATCCCGAAGCTACCAAGCCCGAGGATTGGGATGACGAAATGGACGGCGAATGGGAAGCGCCCATGATCGATAATCCCGATTACAAGGTTCGCATATTAAAATCCCATGTGTATACGAAAATTTATCCGATATTTATCCGATATCATCGTTTCTAATTTTATATAAATTTTTTCAGGGTGAATGGAAACCGAAACAAATCGACAATCCTAACTACAAGGGACCGTGGATTCATCCAGAGATTGATAACCCTGAATACAAGCCTGATCCCGAGCTCTACAAGCGCGATGAAATCTGCGCTATCGGTTTTGATCTGTGGCAAGTCAAATCTGGTACTATTTTCGACAATGTTTTAATTACTGATGATCCGGAGGTGGCACGAAAATTCGGAGAAGATGTTTGGAAAGCTACTTTGGTAAGCTTTTATCATCAAAATATTTCTGTTTACATATCCAATTAACATGTGATTCGTGTGATAACAATATATGATTTTCTTCTGAAAATGATAGGAGGGCGAGAAAAAGATGAAGGAAGCACAAGATGAGGAGGAGAGAAAACAAAGAGATAAGGAGGCTAAGGAAAGTGAAGATAGTAAAGATGATGAAGATGACGAAGATCTGGATGAGGAGGAAAATAATATTCAGCCAGAAATTGAGGTGAGCGTCGACTCTACGTATATAAATTAGCGCATTAATTTAAAAGAGAGACAAACTCGCGCATGATGTTTACGCCTTTTCCGATTCTGCTGACGAAAAAAGCTGGAATTCCTCGTTTCTGAACGTACATATTCTAACAGACGCGTTTGATCGACGTGTCATCGATAATATTTATGACTTCGTCCTCTTTATGTTTTGCAGGATCATGATGAATTGTAAATAAGTGTGTCGTGGACACAAACACACAGACTGTATTCCAGGAGCAACGTGGCCGCGACACGCACTAATCCTCCCATAGGCAGGAAATTGTAATCTGAAGACGCGGTAGTAAGAGAACAGGAGATTGTCTTTGTCGATTATTCTCTCACTAATATTGTTCACATAGACAATATTAGCAAACGACATAATAGGCAAAAAGATTTTTTGTTCTCTTGTTGTTGTGTATCTTTAGATTAAAATTTTAGTCGTCTGAGGTATTTTCTATTTTCTACAATTGAAAAAAAATAAAAGAATTTTCGGAAAATGGAAAGTATTTTGGACAACTCTCCATCTAGAGAAGCAAAACCGTAAGAATGATGTGTGAGTGTAAAAGAGACTGAATGATTATTGATATGATTGGTATGATGTATCAGAGGCAACCAATAACCATGTAATAAAATAAATAAGACTTTTCTAGATGTGCTCAGGCGTTTATTTTCGTGGGCCTCAAGCGCTCATCTCGATCGAACGTGAAACTTAATCCTGTTACTGATCCATTTTTATCATATGTAATAATGTACGAGTTGATTGTGCAAATTGCTTCCAACTTCCATTGTATATGTATATACATGCATATACATGCTATTTTATTGTATCATGTTCAAATATAATTAATAATCTTGTATAGCTCCATTTTATATCGGAAAATAAACTAACAGTTTTCTTCGAGACGACTATCTCGTGATTTAAGAATTTTTTTTCTTTTTTGGTGTAGCGTGACTTATTAAAACAAACACCTCGTGCATTAACGAGATAGTAGATTTATGACGATGTAATAAATTCATTCAACTTACGTCCGCGCTCACAGAGCGAATAAAAAAAAAGGTACGTTTTTATTTGACTAATAAATAAGGAAAAAATAACGAGAGTATAATCGACATCAAAATGGTTGAAACTTCTTTAATAATTTTTGGAACATGCAATAACTAGAAAATAAAACCATTTTTGACGCCGACCATACATAAGAGTACTTATCTTGATTTTTATCTACCTATCTATATAACTTCAGTCTGTTCCGTTACATCCTTGTCATGCTAGTTAACGTGAAAAATGTTTTCCTCGACTTGCTTAATCATTCCTAAATAGGAATTCATACATAATAATTTTGTGAGAAAAACTTCAGACGCATTGAGTCGAGAGCCAGTTAAGACCCTGCAGTGTACCGCTAGCATTGGTAACCAATGACGAGCCCTGAATGTGCCATATTCTAGCACAACAAAGCTTGTGCAAACCAAATATGTCGACCAGTTCTTCAACACTTGCACAGTCTGGAACATCCTGTAAACGTATATTTGCATAGAATTTATACAATATAATCTACACATTACTGTCTTAATTATGTGACGTAATCTTATAATATACAATACAAAAAATGATACAATCTTGAAGTAAATAAGGCAAAAGAATTAGAGTGAGTAAATCAGGTTCATAATTTACAAAATTCATATTAATAATAAAATCATATCTAAAACAAAGTTTAAAAATTATGGACTTAATTCTAGTCCAAGCCATAAATATTCATATAAAAAACGAATATTACATATGAATATCAATGTGCATTATACGCGAGAAAACGTTTGCAATTTACCTGTTTATTAGCATAGATTAAAAGTAGAGCATCCTTTAATTCTCGTTCATAAAGTATCTTTGATAATTCATTCTGTGCCTCTTCGAAGCGAGATCTATCGCTGGCATCAATCACAAAAATAACAGCTTGCGTATTATGATAGTAATGCTTCCATAGTGGCCTGAACTTCTGATGCCCACTGACGTCCCAGAGAGTAAATACGAGATTCATGTACTCCAAGCTCTCGACGTTAAAGCCGATGGTAGGAATCGGCGAACTCGATAATGTGACGCCTCGCATAGCGGACAAAATACTGGTTTTCCCTGCTCCATCCAGTCCTAGGATCACTACACGCATATCAATTTTCGTGCCAATGTGTATTCTGTTATCCTGCAATGAAAGAGAGCATTGAAAAGAAACAAGATTTATTAACTAGGTAAACTAAAAAGAAAATAAAGTAGTAAATGAGATAAGTTACATAATTAGTATAATTATTTTTATTAAAAAAAACCAAAGTAACTGATTCAAATATTGAAAAAAAGAATAGTATAAAAATTATAAACTGCTTTCAATTCAATTATTCAAAGCAAAATGATTTATTTCATCATTCAAAAAATGATGAAAATAAATCAGAATAAATTGTATAGTTATTATATAATATTTATCATGAAAAAATTCTTACAAACCCTGCTAAATATAATAGGTATAGACGACTCAGGACTGAGAAAATCCGGCCCCAATTGCGCATAATGCTGTTGCTGTTGCTCCAATGTCGCTAGCACTTCTTTGACTTTCTCCGAATTGCTCAGTAACTTCCAATCTTCGGAATCGAGTATACTTTCGCACTGAATGCACACACTGGCTACTTGCGATCTTGTAGTTGTGAGATCCTTCTGTTGCTGTCTAAGTGCGCACAATCTACCGCGAGTTTCCGTCTCGATGTATGCCATTGCTGTTTTCTCTTGTTCAGCCAAAACAGCGCGTAGCTCCTCGAAATGATAACGTACCCTTCTCCTTGCGTCTTCGATTGCCCAGCCTTCCAATTCTTCAATTACTATTTCTAAGAATACAAAACATAAATGCAGAAAATATAAGATATATATATAAAATTAAAAAATTATATTTAAGAAAAGAAACACAAATTTAATAAAATATATTAATAATTTTAAAACAATTTAATTTAAAAGATTATTTTAGCCTATATGTCCGTTTTTATGTAAATTGTTCAAGTTTTATATTAGAGACAATAAGAAGAACAAAACAAGTACCTATTTTATGCGCAGTATCCCTCATGCTTTCCATAAACTGTGTCATCTTTTGTAACGCTGCGATAATGGTCTTCCTGATATTGTCGGCTTCTTCCTCCATCAATGCTGGCTACAATTCAAAGCATAGGCAAGATATTGGCAGGAACATATCCACGTGAGAACCAGGGGGAAGGCTGTAGACAACATTACCTTGTGCGTGCTGTGTTTGCCATACTCTTTACACAGGTAACACATCAAGGAGTTGTGACAACCTTCTTGGGTGCACGTAAACTCGGCTACGTGTGCAGTGTGTATTGGACAGCGAGGCTTCTCACGTGGCTTCTCCGACAGTGGAACACGCCTGTGCTTGCCCAATGTCTTGGATGAGTGAGTGGCTGTGTCGCATGCTTCGCATAAATGTGTTGCACAAACGGTGCAGTAAAGAACGGCGGTGTGAGCCTCATCCTCGTCACACGACTGATTTGATTGAAGTCTCTCACGTTCCAACACCAGAGTTTTCTGACTGCTGGACTGCTCCAGACGTTCGATTAACTCAATAAGTGCAAAATTCTTTTTCAAACTGTAGACACTGTCTTCGCTGATAGCAGTGGGCTGTCGGTCAAAGGGACACAGTAGAAACTGCTGATCTGACATACAAGTCCTCAAGCGTAGCAGACACGACTGACATACTGTGTGTCCACAGTGCAACAAACGCGGCACCTTCACACCGTCCACTGTAAAAACCTCTTCGCAAACACGACATTCTAACACCTGTCACAACATATACCTTGTAAGTAAAATATAATATAACGTTACATTTGACTTACTGGTTAGTCATCTATTTTGATAAGCTTTATCAAACTAAATAAATATTTAACTAAATATCTTGCCAATTAATATATTTAAAACTCTAAATTTTTAATTTAACTTTTTAGCTTAATTTGATGTATTATTGCTTCATAAATATTCCTTACATTCGATTTCGGTACTGTTTTTAGCGAATGTTTCTGATATTTGCCCAATCGATCCGTGTCTTCGCTCATCGCGAAAATTTAATGTGCCTTTTTGTCTTTGTTGAAAATCCAGTTGAGTTTTGTAATTGGAATAAAACAGAGGTTAACTTCACATAGCAATATTCGCTGTGCATAAAAGGTTTAAATTGTTGAATAAGGATGAAACTGCAGAATGGCGCAGTGAACTGTATACACTAGTTACAACTTTATGTTATTTCGTTCCATAACCTATTCTCAAATGTTTTCCTTCACTGAATTCGTACATATTTTATTTCTCTTGTTTGTAACTTCTTTATGCAATTTTCATAAATTTTATTTTTATTCTTTTCGATTGTATTTTGCTATTTATCATTGACGATCCGATTTACAAATAAAAAATGATCGAAAAGGAATCGCATCTCAATCATAGACATAATAAATACTAGACCTGCACTCACGCTGCTTGCGTTTCAAATCTGGCGCCACTGCTGTAGCTGTCAACCACTAAGTCTGTTCTTTTTAGCTGAATTGGCTGCACTAGTTCAGAGTTTATCTTTCTCCTTAATGTGGAGGGAAAAAGATAAACTCTGAACTAGTGCAGCTAATTCAGCTAAATAGAACAGACCTACTATCACCTATTATCAACTGTGGTAAGTCTTGGAAAGTACGTCAAGCTAACCTGAAATTTAAATTTTATGATATGCTTTGTATTTTTTGTTAATAGACAAGAATATATAAAAGAAGTGAAAGAACAGTGTAAATGTGTGTCCAAAAATCTGTAAAATTAAATTTAGGTTAAAAGCAGAAGTTCAAAAACTTTTATAAAAGAAAATTATGATTTGACAAAATACCAAACTTTCTTGTTAAAGAAAGAAATTTGAAATTATTATGATGGATTGTTTAAAACAGCCGGTATTTATAGTGGGAGATATCGATGAGAATATCAACCTTTCACTGCCACCTAGTTCTGGAGAAGAATACATCAAACGAGTAGTGTAAGGTGTAATAATTTTGTTTTTGCATACTTATTTTACCTTAAAAAAAATGTAATTAAAGAACAGTAATTAATGAGTGATATGTTGATGATTGAAACTTATTGAATTACAGAATAGAAGCTCAACAATGTGCAGATGTAATGGTGGCCGACATAGATCCATCATGCAGGAAACAACCTACCAAAAGCTATATTGAACCTGTAAGCTGATTTAACATATTAACAATAAATCTAATAATTCAAATGAATTACTGATGCAATTATAAAAACTGATTTTGCACATTATCTATTAATGATAAATCCAATAACTCAAATGTTATACGAATGTAAAAGTTAGCAGGATGTGTTCAAGCACCGCCAAGTCTTAAACCAACACTGGAATGGCAACAGTATCAGGTTTCCGACTTCTCTGATGTGAGACTGTATGTAAGTCAAATGAAAGACGAGATACAAACAAGTAAACGCAAATGGAAACCACCTGATATTGACTTGGTATATTCTTTTTGGCATTACATTACAGATATATCATTATCCGATACTTAAAAAAATTTTTAATTATTTTTTCATTTACAATTGATTTTTTTGTTACAGCCAGAGTTAAATGATAAAAACGCTTGGATCAACTTATGTTTAGGTAATGATAGCGAAGAGAAGATTAAACCCACATTGAACACTTCGTTTTGCTTCAACCAGTCAACTGTGGAGCAAGTACTTGAATACCTGGTGAATTTCGTAGAAGCTGAAAAAAGAATAGATCATAAAATAGGCCAGTGGATTTACACATTACTCGTGATTTTGGAGCAACCATTGCATCCTGATATGTGTTCCTGCTTGCGCTCCTTGGCACGAGCGTGTTCCATTATCCGTGCAGATTCGGTAATATTTATTGTTCTAAATTGATTTAAAATATTTCGATACATTGGAAGTAAATCAATCAATGCCATAATATTCGAAAAATAGAAAACGTTTACATTTGCTTATTTATTTGTTTTCTTTTATAAGAGTAAAATCTTATTTTTTATTTTTAAATTATGGAATAATATTGATTTTTTATTAGTTCCAAGTTATCAATTTAATATAAAGAAAAGTTCAGTATTAGATGTTCAATCTTGACAGTCTCATTTGAACACATTTTATAATTTTTTGTTACAAATATATTCCCAGTGTTGTGTTAGTATAAAATAATACGAAAGGAAAAGAAAAACAACAGGATAATGTCAAATTTCTATTAACAAAACAGTTTTATTGTATAACTTTTTGTTTATTCTATTTATGACGCAATCTCATTTTCAAAGTTAGAAAAAGGTTCAGGTGATAATAAAAACATTGTTTTCATCAAATTACAAAAGGTTGAGAAAATAAGAGACTGAACTTTTCTTCTATTCTTAAACTAGCTCATTGTTCAATTTTCATCTATAAAAGTTTACATCAAAATTTACTAACATCATTATCTCGCATGTTTACTCTTTGTTTTTTAGAGAGAGTTGGATGTGCAGGAGCTGGGAGCGCTAAATTTATTCATCTGTTTGGTAGCGAGATACTTTCGTCAATTGGACTTAGCAGATCCTTGACAATCTCCTATCTTACATTTCATCTATATGTTTATGATCTAATATGTATATCTGCATATAATATATTCTAATAAGTGACACAGAATTGTGTTTTAACTTTGAATTTTCAATGCAAGGCGGTATCATGTTACGTTTTACCTTGTTTGATCATTATGCTTGTAGGATTTAAACACATGTTGCCAAAATTATTAGGATGCACAATATATATACATATATATATATGTATATATATAAGGCAACGCTTCAATTAAATAAACTTGTATTATAGTAATCAATTAGTAAGCAGAATTAAAAAATCCTGATCGATACTTAAGCTATGTTCTCTTGGTCCTGGAGTAACGCAGTGGCTAATCTTTCTAGATCATCATAACTAAGATTATTCACTTTGTTTTTCAAGTCCTTTACCAGCTCATTGACTATGGACTCTGTCTCGGATACAGTATAGTAATGCCTGAGCACTCTGGAGACTTCATCTCTCAGCAAATGAACACCAGATTTTTGTTGAGATTTACTCTCGCTGGATCCCTCCTCAGCTTTCTTGATCACTAACAAATTTAATTTACTGCCATCTTTGATTCCTGGATAGAAACTTAGTGGGTTTTCATCTGAAATATATTCCATTAAATTAATATGGAATCATAATAGGAACTGTAATAATATATAATAAATATCTTTACCTGCTAAGGTTTTGCCAGTGAGTAATAATTTCTGTTGTGGTACATCAATACCCAAAAGATCACTAACTTTGTGCTTCAACTCCAATACTGTCTCTGATGGCAATATCTAAAGTCATATATAAAATATGTATTTATATAAAAATGCTGTTTATATGAGAAATGACCAATCGTAGAACAAAAAAATTTTTGAACATTCTAAAATTGATCAATATTGTTTGAAATATCAAAGAACAAAATTGTCAGTAGGTTCTCATTCAAAAGAAGAATCACATATTTTAACAAACATTTAAGTACATTAATATATTTAAGATACTTATGAACATTAATTTAACCTTATTTGATTTATGATTACAATTATCAGTGTAAAATAAAATTCAGATCACAAAGCAAAATCATCAATGTGTGAAAAAACGAAGGACATACTACGATCATGCTGTACTCACGTCAACGACGCATTCTTTCCCCTGCAGTTTCTTCACGATCACCTTCATGGTGAGCGAACAGCAAAGAATGCGAGACAATGGATGGACTAGTGACACACGAGAAGCGTGCGACGGAATCAAGTTTCTCGAAACAATTGTGTCTCTTGGTAGACTGATAAAAGCTGGAGCATCTTACAGAGAGGTTATATTTTGCGATTGTACGATAGGGTAACACAGCGTCATCGGCGTCATCAACTACTTCTTTCTCAAGAGTAACAGTGCGACGCAGTGGCAGACACGAATATCGATACTGGCGTGATTGCCTGTGTGAATATCGATAGCAACAGAAGTGTCTTGTACAAAATCTTCTCGTCGGCGAAACACTTCACTGGCATGTTACTCCCGTCTCCGAATCACCGTTGATCTTCACACGCGCGCAGATTTATCTCTCGTGTTCCCCTCTATTCGACCTCCTTTTTCTTTTTTTTTATCACAATTCAAGCTCCTCGACTTCGTGCTCGGACCATAGATAATAAATATAGATTGCTTGTCGTTCGAACCTTTGACTATGAAAATATAGACTGCTAGTTACCTTCACTTTTCCTATCTAAAGGCCAATGTCCACGATGCTAGAAATCGATCCGAGAAACATATAACCAATAAAATTGCCGTTTTTCCATAAAAAATGCAAGTTGATTGGTTATACATTTCTTGGACCGATTTCTAGCATCGTGGACATTGGCCTTAAAACCACTTATCGTTCTGTCCATATATTCCTAGGTCCATGTGCAGGGTCAATGAGTAGCAGATTAAAGTTTCTAGAAATACTTCTAGAGACTACATAATTCATTAACCTGCCGCTTTAGTTTAACAGAATTTTGAATAAAATATAGCGATTTTCTTCATGATAATCGCAAATCAACAACAAAACGAAATAACATTTAAAAAAATTTAGAAAACAAAAACAAATTAATAATATTATAAATATATTATGCAAATAAAAATGTAATTGTAATACGATAGATATCAGCAATCATTTATCTTTGTTTTGTTTCAATTACACTAATGTTATGCATTTGGTTTATTTTTTTTTTTACAACATTTTGCGGATATGTAAAATTATATTTTATTTCCTGTTTTTTAATATTTAATAAATTTTTTGTTTATTAGTCAGTAAAGGTAAACTCAAATTCGAATTTTATTGAACGTTACTGCGATTTTCAACAATTTTCGAAGTATTGATACTGTGCATTGAGCTCTTACATATGAACCTTGAAGGAATGGAGGTAGCTTCATTGTGCAAAAGAGAAAGCTATATTGGGCGGGGACGTCTGTTTCTGTTTTTAATATCCCCATTATACACGATAGTAAACGTGGAAGAAAGACAAACATATGTGCTATCCCCGTCTACTATTGCTATCCTTGGTCCGCGAACTACACGTTGTTTCTTATGGGAAGGCTAACTCAGGCTCACTTCGTTGTGTTATAAGGCTCTATGATTTTGTGATGTAACGGATTAGTCTTTTACCGTTCTGATCATGTTAATGCTTTTGAATTATCTTCTTCTTTATTCTTTTTCAGGTAATATATATTTAGTTAAAATCACACTAAACCATAAAACAGCTTTTTTGACATCTGTTTTGTAATTTAATCTAACCTAACCTAACTTAACCTAGATTTTAATGCAAAGTATAAAGAAAAAAAGTGATTTGCATCCATATGTTTAAAAGTGTATTTTTTACATCGAAAGATGCATAGTACGAAATTGAGAATTTCATAATAACTTGATCTATATTCTTTATTTAATTAAAAATTTACTTTTTAATGATACTTGTTAATTTCTCGAATGTTTCAAAAATCTAACCTCCAAACTGAATGAAGAAGATAAATATTTTTACACAAAGTAATGAAGTGATTAATGAAAAGAATTTAATTAATGGACAGGTTGTTCTAATTTAATACAAATTATTTATTAGATTTTTTGTGATTATTATTTGTGTATTAATATTTAAATATTTATTTATTGTTTACAGTTCGTTAGTGCAAAATGGGAGAAGTAAACGTTTGTTTCCAAAGCGATACTGACAATCGTGAGAATTTTCCATCCTCCATTGCATTCCAGACTTTCAGAAAGCAAAGGGATGCTTTTTATGATATACTGCGAATTTGGGAGGAAAATCATTTGGTATCAGGATGGGTGTTTCAGATTGCACTAGGTGGTAAGATAAGAAATATGTTGACAATGCATAATGATTCCACTAATTATTATCACATTGCTAGATTATTTAAGTCGCAATTGCTGATATCGTGTATACAGAATAAACATCAGGTAAGTGTTAATAGTGTTTTTGTTCTTTCTTAATACATTATTGTAATAAGATTTTTATATAATAAAATAATTGTACCAATTGCAGGATGATATAGTAGACAATGAGAGCTTGAATTTTCTAAAAGCTTTGAAACATGTCAATCCTGAAAAATTGACTCAACTCAGTAAAAGATTTGTAACTCCCTTACCATCACAGAGTCAGAACGTTGGACCTTCATTTCCCGGCATACAAGAATTTTTTAAAGATTTTATATTAAATGCATTTAACCCAATATTTTATATACATTTAGAAAATTGTTTTGTACATGAAATAATGGAATTGAACAATAGTCAGTTTGCTAATAGTGAAATAGAAGATTCAGGTGCGTTTTTTCTTATTTTAACAATGATGATTTATAATATGTTTAAGATTTGAAAAATATAATTTTCTCTTCTTTTTTTCAGAAACAATGGTTGATGAACAAACTCAACAGAACTTTGTTACTTGTTTAGCCAGTTTGAGGCTTCTTGCAAAAGTATTAGGATTTTTAATATCATTACCATATAAATTTGAGTTTAATACTACTAAAGAGATTGTAGCAACGCAAGTAGAAATAAGAAGCACGGTATGTAATATAAACATTATGAATAGATGTCAAAAGTTAAATATTTTTTTAATTTTAAATTTTTGATTCTTATGTAAAAATTGTTATTCAGGTTTTACCATCGTTAAACTTACAAATGTGTCTCCACAATGCCATACTCGAAGGAAAACTGATATTAACGATACCTTGGATAGTTAAATATCTGGCCATGATGGATGTAGTGTCGCTTCGATTGCCGTATTACAAACAGATTTTAGAAATATTATATTATATTTATCGTGGTGTTAATCAGGTTAATTTTTCCGCTCCTGATTGCCTTATCTCCCAACAAGCAGCCATGCTGCTGAAGTCCAGTCTGTGCTGGTTATTCGAACTACCAAACTTTCCCAAGGATTTCTGTAACATCTGGCAGAAGACTTGTAAGATCAAAGAGCTGAAGAATCTCAAACAAATAGAGAAACTTCTTTTCGAAAAGAAGAGGAACTCACATTCCATCGACTGCTCGGTTCCCGCCAAATGCAGTCTCGATAAATTAGATATAGTTACCGATCAAATTATGCGTATGTGTTGTCCGCGAACGGAGTCAACTCTCTCTGTATTTCACGGAAATGGCATGAACTTGAACGTCAATTCTAACAAACATATTACACCTGTCACTAGTCAACTACAGCAAACAGGAAGTACTAATATTCGCGCAAAACATTTGGAGGTACGTTGTTACTAGTTACGTTTCTATCATAATAAGATAGCAATATAAATATATTGTTAAATTAACACGATTATTTTTTCTGTTTTGGCAGCTGCAATTGGAAGAAGCTTTCTTTCATGGTCAACCAGCTTCCACCCGGAAGACTGTTGATTTCGTGTCCGAAAGAGTCGCATCGACCTGCGTGAAACATATATGCAACACTCTGTTGACCTCTTCGCGAGAAGCTAACTTAAATTCCTTTAGAAAGATTCTGAAACGGAAACGGATTGAAAAAGATCCAGATGAGCAAAACGAACCATCAACAAGTTACTTAAACGAATTTAAGGTAAAATATTTGCGCATTTAAAAAGCAAACTATATTATATAACAAGATATTAAATAATTGAGTCGCATTTTATCTTCAGACTTTGCTCGTGAGCGACATGAACACATTAGCCAACAATGTGTCGAGGGACTTAAAGGATCAGTGTGAGAAAACAATACCGGCGATTTGCGAGATGCGAGTCGCGACTTCGATAGAATCTCTATTAGCGGAAGATTCTCTAACTGCGGTGAAGGAGATGTGCATAAAGATTGCGACGAGAATGGCAACAGAACGAATAAATCAATGGATACAATCGCACATCGTCGGTGGTTCCTTATTTATAAAGGACATGGAACTTGAGATTAATAGATTTTTCCGAAATAACAGCCCTGTGCATACTAAGCAAGAGAAAAATCACAACATGGATGTTCCTAGTCCTACTGTAGTAATAGATGAGCTTCGAGTAAGAATATTTGCAATTATAGAATTTAAATTAAAAGAAAATTAGATTTAGTGTTAACAACAATGTTATCTAAATATTTATAATCTTTAAATATATATAAAATATTCAAATACATATAATGTAAAATTTTTACATTGTACGCATTTGAACAACAATCTGAATATAAAGTGGGGAGCAAAATTTGAGCTATAAAAATATTAAATATATATCATTTTTTAAATTTACAACTTTAAGTTATTAAATTTAAATTTTGTTGTTTGTAGGAATTGATATGGCAGATGTTGGACAACAATGGCATAGGTTTAACTATGTCATCGACATTAAATGTTTTAGATAAATTATATCTGGCGTTCAATCAAAGGAATGATCTATTACCAGGACCGCAGAAAATTTTATTTTATCTCAGTATCGACTTCACATTATTTTTAAGTATGTCTACTAATATTGAAATAAGAAAAGAATGATGAAATTGCATAATTGCAATATTTGGTATTTTTAGTTGCATATAGGACGGATCTTTTTACACAAGAGCTCCAGGACAAATTAATTAAAATATGGTCGTTAAGCAGTTTGAGAAATGATGAAGATGACTCACCGCTGCATAGACTCCTGTGTTCTAGAAATATCATGTTGCTAGCCCAACCAGAGAACGATGCGATATGGTCTGTCTTCGGTAAATTTTTAAAACGATTGTTAGAAACGAAGATACTCGACATAAACAGTCTGAGCGATCAGTGCGTCGCTTTATTCAGAGAAAATTGGCCTGTGGTGAGTATACACGATATAATATAAACTATTAAAGATATAATATAATCAGGTTGTTTTGAATCATTCTGTATATCATTTTTCTGCAGCTTCTTAATTATATAAAATTAAAAATGTTTCTTTTTATAACAACAAGAATTACAAAATTATTTTAATTATATACACTACCTGTATAAATAGATTTTGTATATAAAGTATTTTCCCAAATTGTTTAATAACTCATACACGTCTGCTTAACTTTGATGATATCTCTATAATTAATATCGATTTTCTCGTTCACAGCCTTTGTTAAAACTTTTATCGAAGTGCCTGACTGAGGCCATCGACGGTTATAAAACCACTGACGAAGCGACGGAGAAAGTCAAGTATCTTCTCGGTTGGGTAGCCGAGACGTATCACGAGATTGAATTTTGCGAGGATTATGATCTATAGACTGACATATATTGTAGGTAATTTACGATATTGCTCTATAATGGGAAAGTATGGCTGTTGAGGTAATTTTCTGTAAATATAATTTTATCGTCTCGTATACATATATGTATATTGTTGTAAATTTGCTGTTCTGAATTTTTTAATGTTGATGAAGCATTATTGTTCTGTGTATGTACACGCATATACTCGACGAAAGGTGTGTGTAATTTGCTTCAGAATGTTTATCGACGAGTCTTTTACTAGTAAGAAATTTTAACTTTTTGTATTCGGCAAATTATTAATTAAATATACAACTGGATATTTTATCTAACTATATTATCATTGATAGTGTCCCTTTTCGCATTGTTTCCACTGTTTATGCGCATACACATTAAGATAATTCATTAAGATCCTTGAGGTCGTCAAGGCGCGAAACGTGACCTTCTCGAAACCTCTAGGCACTCCTTATTGCATCAAGTTTGTCCTTTTTGTTCCTTGCAAATTGGGTTATCCACTTCATTCCATTCCCGCGATTCCAAATACCCGACTATTACTCCGTCTCATATAATCTGATCATCGTCTGCCCGTCTAATTTACGGTCTGCCATCAGCTCAGTAGACGTTTGTGTAATGAGATACGTACGCGTCACCAAAGTCACGCGCTACCATTAAACACGAATGAACTAAGTAATTAATGGTAATTTTGTTTAAAATCTTTTATATTTTTTACTCATGCGGTTAGCTTGTTTTCTTAATAAATCAAATATTAATAAACAATTCATATTAATCAAGTAAGATAATTAGAGTTTTGTTGATCAACTTGTTCGTTAACAAGGATAATAAACCTCGTCGGCTGGCTTTGGACTACTAACTTGTTAATAAACAAGTTGCCCTACCGCACTGTGTAACGAGCAGTATTTTACCTCAATTAATTCACCCTTAACTAACACGCTCGCGTACTAACGTTTTAAAAAAATCTTAATTTGATGCGTTATAGTTTAGACTATCCATATTTCCACAAAGCTTTGTCTGAAGGTTGTTTTTCTATTTTGCCAAAGTTATATAACATGCACCGTTATTACTATCAGACCCTTGCTGCGATAGTAGATATCAGCAATTGACTGTAAATCTCACAGATCCAAAACACAAATAATTTATTGATGTTTTGTAAAAATAGAATCAGCAAAGGACTATGCATTATACATATCAATACTATGATTTTTATTATCATTGCTTTGATTAGACAAAAGTGAACCACTTTTATATAAAAATAAATTATGTACATTTTATTCTATAATTTATATTATTCTATAAAAATAAAAATTTGTTTCTTAGTTTACGTAATTTATGTTAATTTAAATTTTAGTTTTTAATTTTTTGGTTGAAATAGGTAGCTCGTTGGTTCTCATAGATCTATCTTTCTGGCTGGTTCTGTTCGCTGTTGCAGCCAGGTCGGCGTATTGTCCTGACGCAACGGGGACGCTCCTTTTGTCCTTTCGAAATTGGGTCATCCACCTCCGTTCCATTACCATAACTCTCAATGGCCGTCCACCTTCCAGCCCGACGGCGGTATCTAATCTCGACTCGTTACTCACGAATGACCGCAAATTTTCCTTATGAAAGCAAGTGTATATTTTTTCCCGTAATTTGTTTGGCGTCATTCTATCGATCATACATAAGGAAATTGCACGTAGAAAAAAAGCTGTGATCGTAATAATCGATAAGATAAAAGGATATTAAACTTATTTTACATTTTACATAAAGCCAATAGTATATATAATAATATTTGCAACATTTATAATCAATATATAATTGTTTCATGATAGAATTAATAATTATTATTTTTTAATAACTTTTTATATAAAACGCATAGGTAACTTATTATTTTATTAATTTATTTTAATGATTTTATAATTATCACTAATTTGATTTAAGTATGATTTTATTATATAAATGTAAATTATATCTTTTTCTCTCGTTTTTAAGATATTAAAAATTAAATATTTTAGAATAAAGATTATTTAAAAAATTAATAAGTTGGCAAAATTAGTCACAAAATTTTAAAAAGACCACGTTAGTCAGGTGTCACTAGTTTTTGACAGTTTCCGCTTGCTATTGATTTATTCAATTGTCTTTTATACACGAATATTTATTGCCAGATTGTGTTATGTTCCGTTTAGAAATTTTGTACTATAAATTTGACTTGTGCTATATACTTTTGCGTGATTTTTCGAGTACGGAAACGCGACCTAATTCAGACATTCGTTTGTTTTACTCTTCCTTTTCCGCCTTTGCCGCCTTTTACATTGTAAAAGGTGGCAACATTGCTCAATCTGCAAGCATTTTATCTGATTGCAAAGAAAACACAGGTAACGTTTTTTCACACAAAATATGTATGTAGATATGTATGTATTGTTAATTGAGAACTTAAATAGTTGTATTGCATAATATTATCCAGAATATAATAAGGGGAAGGGGTTTCTTAATTGTATTATACAAAAAATAATACACTAAAAGATACGCAAAGTATTTTGGCAAATATTCTATAAAGAAGCATTTTTGGACATATATTTGTTAGTTATTTATATATGATACCGTTTTTATGGACAATAGTTTAATATCTTTCCTTAAGAGTTTGAGATTAATGTATTTAATCTTTAATAACTCTAACCTAACTTGACATTTTAAATCAGTTACAACAAAAATATTTGTTGCATTCTATTTTATTAAATAACAATGCTAGGAAAGTATAAGTATCTAACAAGGACAATACTTTTAAATGTAGAGATAATAAAAGAGATAATATTTTTGTAATTTTGTAAAAAGTTTTTATATATAATAACATCTAGGAATAATTAATTTTAAGACAGAAAAACGCTCATTAAATGGAAATTATTTGAATACTAAGAAGTACTAAGTATAAATAATGAATAGCATATGTAATCATTATTAATATATAATAAAAGAAAGAAGATTATTATATTAATATATAAAATATTATACTAATGACGTAACAAGGTAACAGTGTAGCTAATAAGCAAAAAATTTTTATTTCTCCTGAGTAGGCAAACTTCACCCCGCGCGCCGCGCGTACATGCGCGGCACAGTTTCCCGCGCACCTTCGCAGAGCGCGAACGAGTCCTTTTCGCAGTCGCGATCCGCGACCCGTCGCGTTCACATTCTTCTCTGTGATTTTTGTCGCGGTCTATCAATAATTCGGTATTATTCGCGGTATCACTGATTCAGTTAGCTCGTGCGCGATTTGATTTTTCGCTGAATATCGTGGCTTTTATTGTATTGCGTCACTGCATCGCAATGTTCAATTAATCATTGTCGTCGTGAAAACCGTATCGATATAGAATCGTATAGAATACTTTTGACGACCTAACCAGCGATTGAGAAACAATAAGCAAATTTGAGAATTTTAAGAAGAATCCTGATGGGAAGATAACGGAAGACACGGTAATATCTTGTTACATGGAACTTGCTCCTGTTACAGAGAACTTGTTCCTAATTGTAAGAATTTTTGCATCAGAACTTTGTTATAGCCATGTTTAACGATTAACATTCTACATTAGCGCGTGAATTACGTCTAATTAGCGAATATTTCATTGAAAAGAAAGGTCGATGAAGCTTTGTTACGGCAAATTTCAACGGATATTTCGGTCATATTTCTCATTGCATTTTTGACATTCGCCATATTTGCTATAAATTGGCATAAATTAGCGCGGGATTCAAATTTGATCACAGTAAAAGTAGCTCCATCTATCAATCTATTTGTCGCCATTTCTATGTTTAGATAATAGTGTGGCTATCTATAGTGAATTACCGAAACTTAATTGACGTCATATTGACGAAGCGGTCAACAAAGGATGCTCCAGCATTGACCGTTATTTTTATTGTTGTACGATATCTTTCCAGATCGATTACGTGTCAACAATTGATTACGTTCAGCGAAAGATCGTTCACGACATTCGTTCTGAGAAGAGATTTTCTGCACTAGAAACGGTGTCGCGGCTCAGTCGAAGGCGCGCAGCGGGATGAATTCGGCCGCGCGACGGAGCATCGTCGATCGTGCCGCAGTTGCGGAGTGATAACAGTCGAAGCACGAGCCCCCCTTATCAACGCGCCGCAGGTGCCGGCCGGTGCCAGTCAGCCAGTCTTGCTGGAGCACGCGAAGCGGTCGTATCGAGAGTGTCGTGAGGCTCGTGCTGCGTTCATCACGTGGATCATTGCACTCAGAAATGAGCGTCGAAGTCGTGGTTGTCTATTGATCCGTCGATCTTGGGGACGTTTGGTGACGCATCTTTTTTGAAGTGAGGTAAGTTTAATTGATAATCTGATAGAGCAAATACGGATCTTTATTCACGTTAAATGCCGTGACGATTGTTGACAACAAGCAATATAATATAGGAAGATTTAAAAGTAAAATGTATAGAAAGTGATAATCTATACTTGTTGAATTTTAAATTGTTACAAATTCGAAGAAATACATGTACCGTCAATAGAGAACGAATAAAATAAATAAAAAATATATCTGTTCGTATTTATGTATTATTACATTGAACATAGCTTTTATGTAGGATTCTACATCATTCATTAAACGGCATTTAACGTATTAAATTGTATAGTTACAAGTTTTTTGTATTGTAATATTTCTGTAAAGAGATATGATGACAGAATCGAAAAAAAATTCACCAATATTCATGTGAAATTTGATTAACAATAATTTTTCTTCTTTTAGTAATCTTTTCTTGTAGTAATCTATTCACACTAAAGTTAGAAGAGAGAGTCAATTGAAGCATTTTTACGAGTACAACAGCTGAGATTAATTTGTAAATGATTTATCTGAAGAGTTTTGATTGATTTATTTAACATATAAATTCTAAAACAATATATTAAGTTATTATTAATTTTACTTTAAATATATATGACCTAGAATTTGTGACAGAATTTGAGATAGAAATTTTCAATTTTATATGGAGTACGGTACGCTGTGTATGGAGAAAATATTTAAAGAATTAGAACATATATACATACAGAATACGCACATATATGTAATAGAATACGCGATACATAGTATTAGAATTCTGTCGTGAGTTACAGATGGTTTAACTTCTTACCAGAGTAATCTAATTTATGAAAGTTTTTTTCGACAATATATACCGTTATTTAATCGACTGCGCAACTAAGCAGGTAAGCCAATGTTGACATCATCAGCACAGTGTTTATCTTTCTCTTTCGTAAATAAAGTCGAAAATTCAAGTTAGAAACGCTTGCTAGCGCGCCGCGGAACTTTTCCGTTAAAAAGACCGTCGCTTGTTTGTTGCAAGGCGGAATTATGCAGTCCGATAAACCGATGCAATCCGTCGTCAAACCGTTGGCCGCGATTCGTGCTATAAATACACTGTGAACGATCCGGAAATACTGCGAAAAGCTTCGAGAACGCGTACGTTGAGGCTCTAAACAAAGTAAAACAGCGAACGGATATTGACCCGCGCGAACATCCATCGAATGTATAGTCCGAGGATGAATTCTCGATATTATCTGCCATGTGTAGTTAGTCATGAAAGCTCACATAGAGATTCTCTCTTTATAGATTTGTATTTCGTCAGAGATATTTACTATACGTTCTTCTAATTCTTCACGTAGATACGTTGCGCACAGATTCCTGGAAATTGTGTTTACGTAAACACAGAGTTCTACGAAGCAAGCGTACGTCGCTCGCGGTTTATTTTGCTTTTTTATATCATTTCTATGTTAAGAAGACGTGTGTAGACTTTTGTGAGACGGGTTCTTTAAACCTCTGAGATTGAAAACTTTCTCCACGTTACATTCGATACGCGAAATGTACTACCATATTTCATCACGCATTATTACATATGCAATTGTAGTCAGCAACTTGGTGCTAATTGGTATAGTTAACGCGACATGTCCCATTTCGCACTTGCGATCGATCACACGTAGATCACGTTTGTCATTGCAATACATCAGATATGTCGACATTTGATGCCTCGTAGCGCTGTATTTTACCGAGCAGAATTGTTAAATTCTATTCTACTGTTAATAATCAAACATAAAATAACTTTTTTTAATAATAAGAGAATTTAATCAGTTTTATTCTTCTATGATTCGGTTAAAATTCGAATAAAAAATGAATAATGCTGTTTTTATTCTAACATTAACAATATAGCATTTTCAGAAAATTTTTAATTGTAAAAGACGGAAAAATTTTAATTTTAGATAACTTTGATCTTAAGCAATTTGTACTTTTATGGAATTTTAGCTTGAAGCTTTGAAGTTTATAGTTACTAAAATATTTAATATTAAAGATTAAAAGTTAATAATATTACTGTAAAGAAGTTAATGTTTCAAATTTGTTTATATATTTTAAATTCATAAAATATTTGCTGAGAAGAAGAAAGTGAGTTTTTCTAAGACAGTTTGTGTGCAATTTACACATAGAAAAGATAAGAAAGAGTAATATCTGTGAAGAAAAATATTGTATAAATATTAATTATCCATACGTGTAGCTTTTCTCCTGTATAGCGAAAATAAATTTTGGATCAACACGGGGAGCATAATTTTTGCGTGCGTTTATGTCGTGAATGCCGGATAAGGGCCGGAAGCCCGATAACATTGTCGGCAACCTTTTGCCGACACTATACAGCTTGCCTGTCTCAAGGGATAGCATCGTGGAAGTTCTTAAGATGGGCGATGAATCCTTGTAAGGTGCATTGTCGTAGAGAGAACGGAAAGCCGTGTTGCATGCAAAACTCGTGACCTTTATCCAATTAGCGTGCGAGATAAAAATTTTAAAGCACAGGATATAACTTTAGAGAGAAAAATAAAGAGAATTTTTCATATATTTTTATTAAAATAACGTAACGCATTTATTAATTACTTTGCCGAATAATCATTTTTCACTTTAAAGTATATTATATTTATTAATTAATTATTATATATAAAAATTGTGTTAGTTACATTTATCAATTGTATTAATCAGCGATGGTGCCATTAATGTTAATTTGATAAGCTCGGTAGTAACATGAATAATTTCAAGAATAATATACGCAGCCTGACAAAAATAAACTTAAAATAGATTCAAGATGATATCTTGAATAACGAGCAGATGTAAGAACTACATAAAGGAACGTTTGCGCTCGCCGAAAGTTTGTATTATTAATTGAGAACTTTAAAACGGTTGACTCAATTAAAACTTGATGGCTGAACTAACAACTTCAAAATTAGCGCACGGTGTATTATTATTATTAATTTAAAAATTTCATTTGCTAAAGCCAGCTCGCGAAAAAGATCGATTGGTCGTTACGTGGAAAACTTTTCCCCGCACATTGTTGCCTAAAGTTGACAGTACAAATATTGTGCTCACAATTAACAAGTTAATTACGTTTGATCGGTCAACATCGTTGTTGAGTGTATTTTGTTGTATACATTTTCGCGGCATGCTTGTGTTTCCCACAATGAAATTTGCATTTGCATAAATTTATAAAATCATCCACGATGAATTCAGCCAAGGAAATCAATTTTGTTCAGATAAATAAACATTTATCAGATGTCATTTACATACGCGTGAAAAATACAAGAACGTTTAATTTTCTGTCAATTCACCGAGTGCACTATCTAATTAATATGTCGTTTTCAAAATTAATTACACAATACATAATTTTCTTTCTGTTTAACAATAATTTTCTCTTTAAAAACGAAAGATATTTAAATCTTTAAAATTTTTGAGGAATTTTTTAAAATTAATTAATATAAATCTAGATTAATCTTCATAGTAATTAAGATATTTGATTTATAGTTATTTAACAATCAAATTCTATTTTTGAGATATATTTTGCATTAGTTTCATTATTTGGATTCTTAAATAGGTAATACTTATTTTTTATTTGTGAAATTTGCATATTTTTCACTTAATTTGATTGAATTTCGGCGAGAACAGTAGCACGAATAATGCCTTGAATTGACATACGCGCGTCAGTTAGTGAAGTGAATTGAAACAAGTCCGACGGTTGCTAGAGTTCGAGTCGGACGAGTCGAGATCGCGGTCTGCATTGCATCGTCGAACAATTTGCGGAAAATCATTCACGGAGAAACAACGATACAATGCACCTCGGAGCTAATTGTTTCTACCGCTGATCGAAATTTACGAGCACCAGAAACGTTGTAAACTTAACACCTGCAACTTCCGCGTCTTGTGCGCGCACGATGCATCGGAGCAATTGTGAATATTTCACTTTGCGCGCTAATCTTATTTGCGATGATTTATTCACGCATCCGCGTCTTCATAATTTCTATTGCGCGATGCATACACGAAAATTCTCTCAATCTTTCATAGCGAAAAATACGAGATAAAGTTTTGCCATTTTTTCTCCAACTTTTTTTTTATTAATCCAGTTAGAATTCTCCATGATTAAAATGCCAATACCAGAGACGCTTCATACTTATTACGCGTTTTATTCCATTTTCTAGCATTAAATCTTTTTCTAATTGCTCTGAAAACTTGCAGACGGTTATAATTACATTATAGCCGAGAGATTAATCAGTGATTATATTTTTTTACATTTGAATATAATTTAAGAATAACATACTTTACTTTTATAATAAACAAATCAAATTCTATGATATTATATAGTGTAGTGTTTTAGTAACATTAGAGTCAAGAGTTTATGTTTAGGATTCTGATATTTTGTAGGGCGATGTAATAGCAACAGGAGCAGCCCGAGTAATAACACAAAGCTGTTTTCTTGCGGTAATCTCTGATATTTACAGCATTTCAAGTTGTCAAAACTCTTGCCTGTGGAAGTTAATGGTATCCGCCGCTAATTAAAATTTACGATAGGCCGAGATTATCGCGATTTTCCAGAATAAACGTTTATTAATTCGTTCTTCTGTTAAGTTTAATGCGAGAAACGGATAAATGACGAAAGTGTTTGCGCCACTGCTGACATTAATTTAATTCGAGTTAATTAAATCCATTTTCTATCTCTCGGTTATCTTTTTTTCTCCTTAATTTAACATGCGTCAATTAAAAATTTGACAGAGCGAATAGCTCCACGCTTTTTCCTTTGTGTACATAAATTATCTTTCTTTTTAATCGTTTGTACGTTTGTGCTTATCATTTGGATTTTTATATTTATAATTGAATTTACTTTATTGCAGATGCTGGCATAACGACGACATGGAGACGTTGTATACTGGCGCAATCCACGGCTTCCCGCAGCCCGGTGGCGGAATAGCTAATGGTGTTTCCACGGGAATCGCCAGTTCCTTCGACCAGGATGGTGTGCTGAGTCTCATTGTTGTCCTCGGAGGAAGTCTGTCCCTGGTGGCTCTGGTATTCGCATTCATCACCTACAGGTAAGTCTAATTTACGACGTATAAAGCGTCTAGTGTCCTCCGAATCTAATGTGTCTGAAATATGATATTTCGGCATTTGTATTAGACATGCAAAAGAATATAGCAGAAAGTTAGAATTGTTATAAAATAGAAAGGGCATATATACGTATGTGTATATGCGATAACTATTTATGGTATTAATCGATAATGCCATCAATAATTTTTATATATATATTAAAAATTATTTCCATTCCTCGAGATGGATTTATTGCACAAGAAGTATTCACTTTAGAATTCCGTATTTAATTACCACTACTCGCAAAGAAGGAAAAAATTAATGAAACGTTGGTTAATTAATTTTTACGTGAGCCGTTCTGCTCGATGCTCCATTCCTATTCTCGTTACGTTCGGAGATTAATCTTTTGTTATTTATTTACCTTTTTTCCATTATTTCGCTTCCGAGATCTAGACGCGAAATATGATCCGACCAATTTATAATAGAATAAAAACAATAATATTGTGTGTGTGTGTTGGGCGTGTTTTTTTCGGAAATTTTATCAGTAGATACTGCAAAAATTAAAGCTTTACGATTTAAAATAAAACTTTATCGATAACACGTTCTTTAAATATCTTGCAAAATTTTAGTTTCTCTCGTGTTATATTTCTTATAACGTGCAGTAGTTTATCCGGTAGATCGGTCAGAAAATTCGGCCCTTTGCGATACGCCGGTCACGTTTCTTTTATATCCTCCTATTTTATCCGCTATTTTCGGCACGTAGGTGATACCATTCGCGGTTCTTGCGGATCATCGATACGTTCATCATAAGGCTAATATATAGTCCAGTATAATGCAGAAAATCTGCTAATAATATTTTATATTTAATATTCACGAGGTATCTTACGAATGATCAATATTTCGATGTATGCTGGCCATAGCCGGCAAAGATTTTTTCAAGTCTTTTAGGACACTTTGACGACACTGACGTGTTAACTTTTCTGCTCACGTTTACGCATTTATGAATAGCAACCGCTGTTTATGTATGAGTTTCGGGAGTGTCGAGAAAAAGTATTGGGCGAATTTATAGTATATACATATATTCTATGTTTTGTGGATAATATAACGAGTGTTCAGTTGCTTGCCGCACATAAATATAATGCCGAATAAAAGTGTCGGGCGTATATTTTATATACCGCGAGTGTCGTAGATGGTAACGATTGATCGTCGATGGAAAATCAAAACTTCCGATGGAAGGAATTACCTGAAAAAAGCAGAACGACGATTGGCGAGTCTGTAATAATTATACACTAATTATATATTAAAGTTAATTTGTGAGTGAGCTTGATATAATTGTATAATCTTGTTTCTGTATAAATTTATTACATGAAAAATATTTAATAACATCGTATAATAATGTGACTGAGAAATTATTTTAAAAATGTATAACGAGGGCGATATTTTTTACACGTGTTTTTCTACAATTATTACATTACATTATTTATATGAGAATAATTGATATAGAAATTAACGTGTGTTGACATAAAATAAGCGTGTGTTAACACATTTAAAAATACACAGAATTTATTTTTATGGCTTATGAAATATAGAGAAAACGCGTAGAATCATTATTATTGCATGCATACTGCAAGCATAAGTATGATCAATCTGATCCAATCAATTATATTATAATGAAGCAGGCACTAATTGACCACTGGCATTTATGATTATTCTATACAATCCCTTTATAAACGAATCGAATAATTAATATATCATTTGTTGGATTAATAACAGATTTTGAATAAAGTAACATTATACCAATAATTACGAAAAACGTAAATGCATAAATTTTTATATATTGTTAAAAGTTAAAATAAGAAAATTATGCAAGTAAATAGTTCTTTAAAAAATCGAAGAATTATTTAAAGAATAATTAGTGCACTGTTTAAATAATCTCTTTTATTCAATAATACTAGATAATTATATCTAGTGCTACATCACTCTTACTTGTCAAAGTTTTTATTTTGTTGATCATTCATTATTTTTACGTTCTAGCTCTGTTTAAGCGTAATGTAGATTTGATGATGTAAAACTTTATTGAGATGAAATTAAACTCGCACAAGTATATTATCTAATTAAAAACGCATCCGCACTATTAATGACAAAAACGCGGTCGATGCGGCTTTACATGGTCTACTCGTATATTATCGGGTCGAGTCTCGAGTCGATTTTATGTTGAAAGACGATATTATCGGAATACTAAACGACTTTGGTACCTTAGGCTTCTTTCGTGACCTCGTTTTTATCCTTCGACAAAAGTTCTTTTCCCGCGTTTTTTTCGCGATCTAATTTCTTAATATCGTACATACGCGCGCGTGCTTGCGTGACTTCAGAATTTTTATAATCAAGGAAATCGATGAGATTCTTGTCCTCTTTTTCTTCTTTAACCTTCACCTTCGAACGCGAATTAAATCGTCGATGAAGAAATCAGTATGTTGCACAAGAAAGACAGAGAGAAAGATAAAGGGACGGTGGAGAGGAAGGGAAAGTCTCATGATCGATCATGCCTCGTTCCGGAAATTGCCGGGAAATGGGAAAGCGCAGCCACGATGTTCCCTCTCGCACTCTAGTCGATCGATTGAAAAGGGACTCGACCGTACGACCGATCTCCGATGCGAAAAAAAGGATCGAACAAAAGCTATCGTCGCGAATGGCGTCGATAAAACGCGCCGGTCTTCGACGTTTTATCCCGTTCTTTTACCGAGTGTAAATCCTTTCCATATTTCGCCGTCTAGGAGACATTTCGTTATATTGAGAAAATCGGCGAAAATTTCTTCGTATAATGGAAGCGATCGTCGATATCAGAAAATATCGATGCTCTCTTTCGATATCTAGACATAGGCGGTCATTTACAACACAGTTGCGAGTAATATTGACTTTTATCTCCGTTATTTTAACTAAGAGAGGGCTTGAAAGTAAATTGCGTACGTTCGTTATGAAGATTTTTTTAATTTTTCGCCAAATTTCGTACGTTTGAGTTCAACAGGTCTCCTACACGCGCCTTCTGCCCGGATTTAGAATTTATAATGCAGTTTTCCTAATGGCAAGCTCACTGAATTTTGATGCTCTCTACTCTCATTTTTGACGAGACGCATCTTTCTATTTTAATAGAATCTATGATTATTCTTTAGCGAACATACAATTGATATATTTGGCTGATATTATTGTTATTTAGTTTTACTGCTATTAGTGTTGCTATTTTTTTTTATTTTTTTTTATTTTAATATTTTCATTTATCACTAAAAATGGAAATTTTTGAAAGCTTAAATGTTTCCGAAAGTCAATTTCGAGAGTTCGTTTTTGTTTCTGACAAAACATTACCGTGACAAAAGAATGAAATCATCGCGACTTTTATATTTATTTTTCGTTAATGGAGTTCCGTATTTCCAAAGATTTCCTCCCTATCTAGATTTACAGCAGGAATAATTCCACGTGAAATATTGTATTTTCTTAGGAGAGATATATAGACATAAGCGCGGAGCAGCCGTTTAGTTAGCCCAGCAGATAAACTGGTCAAATAATCCTCATATCTGCAATAATAATAAAAGTGTCTTCTCTCTCTCTCTCTCTCTCTCTCTCTCTCTCTCTCTCTCTCTCTCTCTGTTTAATTTTATCTACGAATTCCATCTTCCCGTTTTTTTCTCTCTACATTTTATCGAAAGGGAAACGAAGATCGCTCACAGTCGACAATCACGTTCTTTTATTTGCTCTACTATATCAAACAATATTTTGATATTGCAAACGAATTGTTATTTTTTCATCACGGCGCAATGTATTACTGTTTCCGTTTATTTCACTTAGCGTATTTTTCTATTTTCATCTATCTTCCAGCGTTGTCGAGAAAATATGTGTTTTATGCTGCACTCTCGGTGCACTGCTCGCATTTTGATTACGTTACTTTACGATTATTCTTATATGCATTTTAATATTCTGGAAATTGCAATTCTCTTGCGGGACACAACGTTGCGTTACGCGAAAAGATAAAGCGCGGTTTTTATACGTTTTGTGATAAACCGGATAGTATTACTGGAATGCTCGACCTCGTTACGACTCCATCGACATTTGGAATGAGAGGATGTTTGATGACGTTTCCGCATGGATTGCTTGTGGTCGTCGCTAAATTCATACTGATATTTAATCAATGCTCAATGATATTTAGCGCGTATTCAATATCACTTATTGATACCACTCGTTTATTTTGTTCATGCGATTGGAGTTTGACAGCTCCTGGAATTGACTCTATTATTAAATAACTGTGTGCGTTTTGCATAATTTTCTTATATCGCACGTGCAACTTTGGTTGCATTTTACTGCATAATTATCTGTAACAGCGGTATAAAGGCTCGGTTATTAAAGTTGAAATCTAAGTGGATGTTTTGCAGGATGAATTTTCGAGGAAAAGAGATGGGAAAATGAGTTATTTTATACTTTTGCGATGAAAATCATTACACATAATTTGCAATAATCTAGAGAGATAGAAAATTATTCTCTGACCCATAAAGCAGTAAATTGATTAAAAGTTAATTTAACATTAAATTTAACAACTATATTATTCAGGTTTGGGTTTATATTGTCACTAATTACTAATTATTAAACAAAATGAATTTATTGAGTATGATACGGCGAATAATGGAAATTAAATCACGTTGATTTCAGTTACAGAGATTACGGTATTGAATTTAAACGGGAGAGTACCCGTGAATTAAACTGAATACCGTATTATTTGAAACGTAATATTTCGCGGACAATGTTTTAATTTTCATTATTTTGTTACGTGCATGAGAGCTCGTGCGAATGTATACACACACACGCGCATACATACACATATGTTCTTTAAATGGGGGCTTTTTGCCGGACGCTATTGTAGAGAACGAGATTACGATGTACATTCAGTAAGTTACTCGTACATTATAATGGCTGCAAATTTAATGCTTCCATTTCAAGCATGCGTTAATAGGTTAAACTC